AGATAACATTAACCCCTACCTTAACTCTAAGCCTGATTCTAGCTTACGTCACCGCTAAATTTAAATCTGACCTTGAACCCGACCCTTAACTTAACACTGACACTGACCCTAATTTCACCGGAAATTGACTCTAAGCCACCCGCGCTGCAAGCGGTTCCTGTTCTCATGTCCTGTTTAGGCATCCACATAAGCCAGTCCTACCGGGAAGTCATTTGTAATAACATGTCGCAGTGACACCTTCAACGCACGACTTTGCTCCTAAGTGATCATGATTTTAACTACGATCAAACGGACTTTACCGCCTTCGGTTCAGTTACACAAATCATGTCAGTTCGCCTGTAGTTACCGACGATGTCTACCGCGTACCCCACTGCAGGGTTGGCGCAGCAACAATGATTCGCGCATGAGTCAGTTTATAGTGACAGTAGACTCGTCCGCATCCAACACACTCCCTCTTTCTTCCCCATCCCGGGACCGGAATCAAGACGGACTCAAAAAGACCGGAGGGGAGATCAGACGCGGTGGCTGAAAATGCTAAACGTCTCATCTACGCCTGCCACACACGTCTGGTCCATTCATGATAGACCAGGTTTTCGCACAAACATACAGTAGGTGAACTAACTCATGAAATGTCAACCGAAATTCCGAAATGCGTTTACGTTTCGAAAAGATTACTTGAGTAGGGTTGTAAAACTAGTCAGCCTGCAACACAATTCTATAATGATCCAATTACCTCAGGATGCCGGCTCTGGAAAGAACTTCCTTCCGGCTGCATGCAAAAACTTTACTCTGTGAGAGATGACTACTTAAATAGCTTGCATTTTTATCATTGATTTTCGATGCCCCTAAAAGCCCGATTATATTTCGTGGAAAATATGCATAAAAATATTCATTTTTCTCTCCTTTGACACAAAATTACGTCTTCTTCCAATCTTATACTCGAAGAAAGGGTATTATTCAGTTTTCAAAAACTTCTCCAATTTTCGAATAATTTTGAACCTGCTCTGCCGTCACACTTGCATTCAGGGTTTTTAAACTGCAAGCCATGTATTTTCCGCGTACGGAAAACCACACATGTCTCTACGGTATTGAGAGAAGACCATATGGGGTTCATAAAATATAGCATTGGATTCGATCCATATCGTTAACTTTATAGGGCACATCGGTAAACGCAGACATGACGATTTATGAACGACCATTTCACGGTATTTAAAAGTCCCACAATTGGAAACTCTTTTAAAACCGCATGATGTCCCTCCTTCGAGTAGGAAATTGAAAGAAGACGTAATTTTCTACCGAATGAGCGAAAGAATGAATATTTTTGTGCATGTTTTCCATGAAATATAATTGGACTTTTATGGGCATCGAAAATCAAAGAGAAAATGCACGCTACTTAAGTAGTCATTTTTTACAGAGTAGAATTTCTGTATGCAGCCGGAAGGAAGTTTGTTCGAAAGCCAGCACCCAGAGGTAACTGAATTATGATAGAAATATGCTGCAGGCTGACTAGTTTTACATCCCTACTTAATTGATCATTCCGAAACGAAAACGTATTTCGGAATTTCAGTTGACATTACATGAGTTAGCCCACCTACTGTAGGTAGGCGGCTCGGATTCCAAACTGATTATGAGTGTCATAGAGGCGACAGTAAAAAGGGGCCATTACAGCCTGACCGAGTTATTCTGCCAGTTGGCAGCCTTCTAAGCAACGGCTTTTAGCGTACCGTGAGAGTTCAAAACGCGTCAGATTGTTTATAGTGGGGCATATGTGCTGAGAGAGACGACCTCATTCTCTCTTCCTCTCATAGTTCATTGTCTGAGTCGGCCAACCGTTCCGATGCGGGACTTGGGCCCGCACCTAGACGTTCAATCGCACCTCCATGTGTGGCGCTTGTTATGGCCACTCAGCCCAAATAGTGCGTGTCGTATCTCGATCTCACTCTGACTCCCGTCTTGCTCCAACGCACTTCCCGCGTTGACCCTTGTAGGCGGCAGACACAGAACATACGATGGTAAGTATATTATTACCGACAAAGACAAGGGAGACTGGAATGCCCAGTTCTGGCTTATTAGCCGTCGTCAGCCAGTCATACCCAACCCCCCAAGTGTGGAACACCTGGGGCTCGAACTCGCGACCGGTTAGTTAGGAGTCCACGCCTCTAACCACTGAGCAACGAACCCGTTTCCCTGTCGGTTGCGATCGGGAATATGCAATGGTAGGGGGCGCTAACCGGTCGTTCTTACGGAACTCACTCGGTCCGTTGTGCCTTACGGGCTTCTTCTCGAGGTCAACCAGCAGCCGCACAGCGGCGCACTATATAGACAGTATATTATTACCGATGGTAACCATCACTGGCGACCAGGCTAGCGCTAAGGCGGCAACAGCAACACCAGTAGTGGTCCAAATGGAGACGTCTGTTGCAATTCTGTGCCTCTCGCGAGTGCCTGCACGCGCGCACCAGCATCAGCTCACAATTGGCCAATCATCTTCAAGGTCGAACTAAACGCGCTCTCGCTCAAGGCGCCGTGACGCACACGCCGCCCTCCCGGCGCAGGACATACCCTCGTCCGGCTGCCAACTCTCTTTAACCCATTCTCCAGTTATTCTGCACAGAATACACTATTCTCGCAACCGGCGTCCAACTCCTCCTCTTTCTTCTATTCGGTACCGAGCCTGAAGGTAGTAATGGCTAGGGTCTCACTATGTCTTAAGCTGCTGCATCACACCTATGCAATACGCCTGACCTGTACAAGATTAAATACCGTAAAATATGACATTGAATTTCATCTCCAGCGACTATGCAAGCAAGTTCAACTACTGTTTTGGGGCTGATTTACTTGGAAAATAAGTTCAGAAGTCCGATGAATGACAGTTAGTTAGGTCACAGATCTTTAAAAATCGTCGCAGTCGAAGATGTATGCGAACCCTTCAACTGGGGATCTAATCCTTTCAAGGTCAGGGGTTTGACACTCGTGGTTGGCGTGTGGCCAAGATCTTAGACCGCCTCGTCGGCGAGACAGATCAGCTCTGAAGGAGTTAAATGTGCTGGACTTAACATTACCGACGAAGACAACGGAGACTGGAACGGCCATTTCTGGCTCATTAGCAGTCGTCAGCCAGTCATACCCAATCCCTGGGGCTCGATCCCGCGACCTGTTGGTTAGAAGTCCAACGCTCCTAACCGCTGAGCCAAGGGCTCGTTGTCCCGTCGATTACGATCGGGATTATGCGATGGTAGAGGGACGCTCACCGATCGTTCTTGCGGAACTCGCTCGTCCCGTTGTGCCTTCGGGTTCTTTCTCGAGCCCAACCAGCAGCCGCACAGCGGCGCATGATATAGGCAGAATGGTATTACCGACAAAGACAAGGGAGACTGGAATGGTCAGTTCTGGCTTCTTAGCCGTCGTCAGTCAGTCATACCCAACGCCGAAGTGTGGAACACTCGAGGTTCGAACCGTCGACCTGTTAGTTGGAGGTCCACGCGCCTAACCACTGGGCCACGGACCCGTTGTCTTGTCGGTTTTCGATCGGGAATATACAATGGTAGAGGGACGCTCACCGATCGTTTCTACGGAACTCAACCGTCCCGCCTGTGCCTTGGGGCTCTCTCTGGAGCCCAACCAGCAGCCGCACAGCGGCGCGTACTAGAGCGTCCCTCTACCATTGTATATTCCTGATTGCAACCGACAGGACAGCGAGCCCGTGGCTCAGTCGTTAGGCCGTTGGACATTTAACCAAGAGGTCGAGGGGTCGAGCCCCAGGTGTTGCACACTTCGGGGTCGGGCATGACTGGCTGACGACCAATAATAAGCCAGAAATGGCCATTCCTTGTCTTTTTCGGTAATGCTATTCTGCCTATATTACGCGCCAGTGTGCGGCTGTTTGTTGGGCTCAGAGAGCCGCAAGGCATAACAGGAGAAGTGAGTTTCGTAACACGAATGGTGAGCGGTCCTCTATCATTCTGATGGACTTGCTGGGGGATACATTCGCTAGAGATGAATTTGTGCTATCTTAGTCACCGACGATGATTACCTAGAGAGCCCACCCAACATGGTGAATAAGTCATTATGGAGGCTCTTATGGCAACAAGCAGCCTTGTTTTGTATTCGAAGTCAAATGGATCGTGTTGTGGGGGGTGGGGTGGGGTTGGCAGTTGACTTAAGTAGTCAAATAACCTTAGCGGACGGTAGTACTGATCATCGGTTTATCCTAATTGCAGGGCGGAAGTAGGGGTCTCCGTTTTTACATAACTATTGGCAGTAGAACTGCCGTAGGTAGCTACATACTGACAAACGGTCGATTATCGGGAAAACAGAGGCGAAACAATCTAAATTGGAATGACCCTCTTCATTCAGCCGCACTCCAATCTCAGATCATGGTTGAACACCGGCTGCATTCGCCACTGAACGTATATCGTCCGTTAAGATCTAGGGGTGGAGGTCCACACGAAAATGATGCGAATCAGTCTATCCTGGTGACAGGGCGGAATTCGGAAGTTACGTTTAGACTCAACTGATAACCGAAAGTGGAGTCGAACCCCACATCTGGCTGGCGGGGATAAACGAACCATAAACGGCATTTTTTATCCAGCCCGATTATTTGGTTACATTTCTGCATGGGGGGGGGCAGCTTGGATAGTCTGGCGAGTGGGCTCTTGTGAGCTGAAGAGGCCTCCGTAAACAACTTTCTACATGATAGACCTTATCTAAAGTGATTCGACTGCCTTTACGGACAAAGCAACGGTTTCCGTCCACCATTTCAGCAACCAATCATATGGCGGCTCGAATTCCTCGACCACTCCAGTAGCAAAGTAATGACTAAGAACCACTGCACATCCCTCTGGGGTCATTTGCTACGCAGTGCCCTCAAAGTGCTCCCTGTGTGGTGCTTTAAAAGTGAACAGCAAAAACGGTAACATTCGTGTTTACTGTAATAACAGGACCTACAACAAGCCCACATTCCGCAGACTGTGAGGGAAGGGAAACTGTTTCATAGACGTCTAACTATGGGCTCCCGAGAGGCGTACACAGAGGTCATTCAACAGAATTTCCTGGGTGTCCGCGGACTTGCCCTTCATGTCCAAATTGATGCGAGCCCTTAGCTGGGATGAATTAAACTCGGCTAAGTGAAGGAGAGCAGCGTCCTGTAGGGAGTTAAGCTCGTGTTTCCGGCCCAGATAGTAGGCCAATACGGCAGAGCCGCCTTCCATATACTTGTACAAGAATTTCTCACATTTCCGGATAATTCTGGGCATCTGATACTCCTTGCCCATATCCATCAGACATTCAACGTTCTGCGCATCAATTATGAAGTCGCTGTTAGGATAGATAAAACGCAAGAAATTCCACACACAGTCGTAGTCGAAGGGAAGGGAGACTATTGGTCCGATGTCCCCAGTGTTGAGCGTTGTGGCGTGACGGAAACGCTCGTAGAACCACGGTGAGTTCATGGCTAAGACCTGTTTGTGGGCAAATAGGCGTCTGTTGCTGGGATCTGCCGGCACAAGCTGAACGTCCGCAAAATGGTCTGGCATTGTGAAATCGGGTTGCCGCACGAATTTCTTAGTTTTCAGTGGATGACAGCATGCTGTGAATAGGGGGAACTTGAACCAGATTTTGGTTATGTTAATCCGCACCTCGACCTTCTTCACAGTTCCCAGGGTTACCCACCTTTCATTCATAACTTTTGGCGCCAATGAAGTGGTCAACCAGGAACTGCCCTCAAATTTGTGTTTTACAAGCCAGTGCATTCCGGCAAACTGGATACAAACTTCACAGTCACCACGCAAATAGCTGGGAAAGTCATAGGCGATCCTCGGCTGGTACTGGTTTGGTCCCGTTTGGTAAAAGAAAATCACCCATGATAATCCGGGTATTTTAGGGTGACTGACCATCATTTGTGCTGGTTGTTCATTGAGGTTTATCTCCCGGGAACAGAGAAGAAGCAAGTCCCCTTCGTTGAAAGTGAAGTCTCCACACCGTGGCCCGGTCTCATCGGTGAGAAAATGGGCGAGCACAGTGCCGCCGGCAAACTTCGAATCCATCCGTCAAGAACACGTTAGGGCAACGGATGACGGAGGCCACAGCACGGAATGGCGTGCAGTGGCAAAAAATCGATAATTTGAATCGGCAGTCGAGAGCGAATAGAAATGCAACAACCGGCCGTGTGTATCCTGTCGTTATAAAACTCGCTGTAAACAGTAAGTTGCATCTTTTCAGGGTGCACACAATGCAACTGAGAGGAATTTATGTAAGACCATCGCCAGATCTTGGAGGTCGATGATTGGGAAGCCAAAAAACTGAAGACAGTGATCCAGTACACGGCACGAACAGTTAGGAGAGCTTTGAATTGTAAACGACTTTCGGGCCCCTTTCTAAGGTATAAAAAAACATGTCTGAGTAAACTGAGACCGACGTTAAAGTGGATGCAGTGTTTTCTCAACACTTCAATCCAAGTTGAAAATGTGTTTATAAATATCAGATTTTTCCGTTTAAGACTACTGATCACTATACACTGGAGGGCTGCTTTATGCCAGTTAAGATATGAAAGGGAAAATTACGCTAATGCGGGTACCTGCGGAAGATTGATCCAAACTGAGTAAGCTCGATTAAAAGGCAAAATACTGATTGTTCCGACAATTATGGTAGCCAAGAATTGATTTCAAAATCTGAACCCTTTGTTTAAGCCACCAGGTCATCTATTTCGCCGAGTAAAACGACACCGCCGGACTAGATTTCCTCGTTGTTTTATGCCTCAGAACCATTGTAGACTTGACCAAAGACATATAACCGCATGCTGTCATGCAGTGAAACGACCTACTTTGAGATCATCCGGCATATGGGATTGAACGTTAAATTTGTGATTAACTAAGTTTACATGCCTTGAGCTTACCATGGCGAGGACTGGATACGTATACAACTGAGAAAATTGAACACAGGGACTCTTGTAATACGGACAGGATGTTAATAATAAGCTTTACCAGTAGGGAAGATGCATGAGACAACTAACGGACTCTGCGGAAGGTATAGAGGAAACCGCCATTTCTGTTTGTTTTAGTGCTCCAACGAAGCATCGGACCGGACTGTACAATTTGAAATGTGCGACTTAGGGAAGTGCAAACGGGCGGGAAATAGGAAACCCATGGTTATTGGCTAAAGAAGACCGGGTTGGGTAAGAGGGTATGCGACAGGCGAACAATCCTGCCCACATTCCACAACCCAAACTATAACTTTAATCATTTTCTTAAGCTTAGCCAGAAACGGGACTCTAATATAAAATGCTTAGTTAAATCAAATAAGCAGGCATGTTATAGTACTACGTCTTAGGGACTTACCAATTCGACCGTCACCCACAACATGATCAACAGCGGTCTCATGTGCGAGCGAACCGTTTGACTGGAATTCCTCCGATGGCCGAAAATAAGTTACTTTATACATGACTTCGCAGGTCCGCTCCATTCTCCTAATCGACCTTTGTTTTTTCGAAGTTAACAGCTCATATTCGGTAGGATTTTTGGAGTAGAGCTATAGCAACAGGTGGTACTTGCACCGTCCTCAATACACTGCAATATATGGACTTTCCTTAAGTCCTCCAAATGAGCGTAAACCAACTAGGTGTCTCAACCGATCGGTTGCTCAAACATCACACTTCGGGACAAGACTGTTGGTGTAACCAAGTGACGAAACTCTGTCAAATGTAAATAAGCGCATTGACTTGGCTGTCAATGAAGCTGCCATATTACCTTACCTAGGCGTTCTCGAACGATTAAATACAGCATTCCGAAATCTACGACTAGCGGCGACTCTGGCATTTTTCCTCTCCCAAGTCCGTCCCCGAGTGCTAGTCTAGCAGTGAAAGGAGCCTTCAGACCTCTTAACTTGCTTTCTCTTCGTTAACCGAACTTGGGGCATAATTTTGCCCTTCATGAGAACTCGCCCTGCCCTGCCTCGTTCAGCCCAGATAGAAGGAGCTTCTGCGAGGCTGAAATGAACTCCTCCCATCAATGACTGGCAGAAGCCGACGAAGCAGTGTCGCTTGACGTATGCCAGACTTCGATAGTCTGGACCCGGAGACAGTGCACAAGCCAGGATATCTTAGGGGATTCTAAAACTCCTGTCCAAAGGGCAGAGGACATATGTAAGCTCGAAATCAGCGGTGAACGATGTCTGTGAAGCACGTGATTTGTCCAGCGTAATTATGTTACTGAAAGGGCGCGTCAGGGCATAATCATTCGATGGCCGAACATAGCCTTGTGGCCATATGGTTGATTATCAAATCATTCACTTGTTAGGTCGGCTGTTGTGGATGTTGAAGGCGTGAAGTGACCAGAGGGGGTCGACAGCTACGTCGAACTGATGGACGCTGCAGAAGGCGGTCATTTCACCTTGACTCTGCTCACCTGTGAATTCACGAAACGGTGACTCTTTCTCCAGTACCAGCTTTGAACGGTAGATTTAACCGGTCTCCTGCACGGCTAATCCTTCAGTGTGGCCTGGTTGGGTCAGAAGAGAGAAGGCGGCCATGTATACGAGTGAGAATCTGTGTCAATGCTCATTTATAGCATAAGTGATTATTTATTGTCGTGTGGGATGAAGGGGCGTGATCGATGACGCAAGCACACCACCACTGTTCCCGTGAGCTGAGGAGTACATCAGAACTATGCACGATTGGTGGGTCCTCCAACGACCTTCGGAGGAAGTGGATTAACTCATGAAACGTCAACCGAAATTCCAAAATGTATTCTCGCTTCGAAAAGGTTAATTAAGTAGGAGTGTAAAACTGATCATCATACAGCTTAATTCTATAATAATCCAGTTACCTCAGGGTACCGACTATTGAACGAACTTCCATCCGGCCGCGTGTAACAACTATTCTCCTCAAAAATGACTACTTAAGTAGCATGTATTTTCTCACTTATTTTCGATGCCTTTAAAAATTCAACTATATTTCATGGAGAACGTGCATGAAAATGCTCGTTATTTTAAACTCGAAGGAAGGGTATAGTTCGGTTTGCAGAAACTTCGGATTCCCGAATAATTTTGAACCCCGACCTGACGTTACACTTGCACTCAGGGTTTCAAAACTACAACGCGCAAATTTTCCGCGTACGGAAAACCATACATTTATCTACGGTATTTACAGGAGGCTATATGAGGTTCATAAAACTAAGCAGTGGATTTGAGCCGTACTGTTAACTTTACAAGCCACTTTGGTAAATGCAGAGACATGACGTTTTATGAAAGGCCATTTCACGGTAACAGAAGATCGCTTTTAAAAAAGGCGAATTATATCCTTCCTTCGAGCATACAATTGGAAGAATACGTAATTGCCTACCGAATGAGCAAAAGGATGAATATTTTATGCATGTTTTCCATGAGATATAGTTGAATTTTTAAGGGCATCGAAAGTCAATGAGAAAAATTGCATGCTACTTAAGTAGTATTTTTTCACAGAGCATAGTTTTTGCAGGCGGCCAGAACCAAATTTGTTTGAAAGCCGGCATGCTGGGGTAATTGAATTATTATAGAATTATGCTGTATGATGATCGGTTTTACAAACCTACTTAATTAATCTTTTCGAAGCGAGAATGCATTTTGCAATTTCGGTCGACATTTCATGCGTTAACCTGTAACGCCCCTGGACTTGAACAGAATTGTTTGAATGTGTGACACTTTTCCGCGCGAGGACCTAGGGTGGAGATGGCGTAGCCGCGTGTCAGTGAAGATGGCCAGTGTCCCTTCCTCTATCATCCGCCGATCCCTTCCCCCTTACCGTACCGCAACGCTCGCATCGCTCTCCGTCTCACTACATCGGCACCTCCCTCGGCCCTCCCCTGCAGTTGCCGACAGCGCTGCTCTCCCCACCGGTTATTTAGCTGGCATGTCGGTATCGCCTCTCCACCCAGACAGGTTATCTGATGGCCGTAACTCATTCCAACTGTACGAGTAACTATTATTATTATTATTATTATACGTATCTCCCATGACTGCCTTGTTATACTTTACTGTATTCCGTTCCTGACGTACCCTCTTCTGCTGTGTGTGAATGAGTATTCAGAGATGCTAACGACTCTGTTCAGATTTACAGTAGATGTGCTAACTCATGAAATGTCAACCAAAATTTCGAAATGCGTTCTCCTTTCGAAAAGATAAATTAAGTAGTGTTGTAAAACTAATCATGATGTAGCATAAATCTATAATGATCCAGTTACCTCAGGGTGTCGGCTTTCGAAAGAACTTATTTTCGGCTGCATGAAAGATCTATGCTCTGCAAAAAATGACTGCTGATGTAGTATGCAATTTTCTCATTGATTTTCGATGCCCTTGAAAATTCCATTATATTTCATAGAAAACATGCATAAAAATATTCATTCCTTTACTTATTTGGCAGAAAATCACGTCTTCTTCCAATTTCATACTCAAAAAAGAGTATACTTCGGTTTTAAAAAGTTTCTAATTGTGAGATTTTTTAACACCTTTAAATGGCCGTTCATGAAACGTCATGTATCTGCATTTACGAATGTGGCTTGTAAATAAGTAGTCATTTTTTGCTGAGTATGGATCTTACATGCAGCCGAAAATAAGTTCTTTCAAAAGCCGACACGCTGAGGTAACTGGATCGTTGTAGATTTATACCGAATCATGAGTAGTTTTACAACACTACTTAATTTATCTTTTCGAAACGAGAAGGCATTTCGAAATTTTGGTTGACATTTCATGAGTTGGCACATCTACTGTATCTCCTCCAGGATCTACTCTCAGCGTTCTCTTACTTTGGTGTGTGCTACCCTTGACGTCCTCGGCCGCTACAAACTCACCTACTGTACATCAGGACTATACCCGATTGGTGGATCCTCCAACGAGCCTCGGCGAAGGCTTGCTGCTAACGCAACGCGCAGTCGCATTGCATGCAGACGCGGGCTGTGCACCGATCTGACAGAGTAGCGGCCCTTTAAACGGTCACCAGTCAAATCGATATAACGACATGCTGCCGTCTGCTTACAGTCGTGCGTATTGTCAAGGTGGCAACTCGGACGCGAACGGTAGCCTCTCTGGGAATCTCCATGACCGTCCGCAAGATACGGAATCCATGCCCTGTCATCGCGTCCTCAAGAACTGACGTGAGGACTGGAATGCTTCATTAAAAGGAAGGAAATTCGTGTTGTCTACTAGGACGTACACCCTCTCAAAGATTCGGGCACATGAGCCTCTGCAAGGCACACCATCTTTGTCTACTGCATTGGCGTTGCCTGTCTGTAGACAGTCCGGCTGTCTGAGTCCTACACTAGATCAATCAAGACGCTAAGATCATACATCGTCTACCACCTGCGTTGCAGTGGTTGGAACTGCGAATCCCGCAAACATGCATCGCACGCGAACTAAAAGCAAAAGACAAACAAGACGCTCATTACATTGAA